GAGGGGGATAAGGACGGAGAAATGAGGAACGATGGAAGACGAACGATGCTGGGAGGAAAGAGACGGATGAGGATGAGGCATGATAATGCAGCAGGAAACGAGGGAGAGCACGATCGTGCGAGATGACGGATGAAGGAAGCAGGGATGAAGAGGCAGGGGAGAAGATGGAGAGGTGGGGCGGGATATGGGATAGGCGGCAGGAGGAGGAGGATGAGGATGCTGATGAGGGCGGAGGACGAGGAGGACGAGGAGGAGGAAACGGAGGAGGAGGAGGAGGAGGAGAAAAAGGAGGAGGATGAGGAGGAGGAGGAGGAGTGGAAGATGGAGAGGAGGAGGAGGACGAGTGATAATGGGAGGGTAGAGACGGAGGAGGGTGGATGGAGGCGAAGGCAGCAGGAACTGAGGAAGAGCAAAGGAGTGAGAGGTGAATGAGGAAGGAAAACAGGAGGCGGAGCCAGGGGAGATGAGGGAGAGGTGGGGAGGGCTATGGGATATGAGACAGGAGGGGGATGAGGAGGAAGAGAAAGAGGAGGAGGAGGCGGAGGAGGAGGAAGAGAATGAGGATGATGATGAGGAGGAGGATGAGGCGGAGGAGGAGGATGAGGAGGAGGAGGAGGAGGAGGAGGAGGAGGAGGAGGAGGAGGAGGAGTGGAAACCCAAGAGTCATCAACGGTGTTGGAATTAACCCTCCCTCCAAGCTCCCTCTTCATATGCCCCTACAACGGTTCATTTCCATTGAGGGGACTGTTTCGTTGGAAGGCAACAGTTTGAAGATCCTGAAGCGTGCCAAACCATTGGCCTCGAGACTTCAACGCCACGTATGAACCTGACTGCTACGTCATGACGATCCGGAATCGTGCCAGAGCGCCATTTTTTTGGACTTCAGCGCAGCGAATCAAAATAACTGTTGCGCCCACATAATCCCGAATCCTTCCAAAACACCGCTTCTGGTGCGTTGATTATGGGAACCCGTGAAACTCTTGCAATGTATTTGCCACAAGAATGTGCGCGGCGCAAAGGCGAGAACCACATTTTGAGAACCACGCGCCCTCAATCCTGGCACCGTCGTGGGGCCCTCTTGGAACTCCTGTACAGCTCCGCGAGTCTCCTAGGAGAGCTCGGAGGGAGGAGGAAGAGGAGGAGGAGAAGGAGGAGGACAATGAGGAGGAGCAGGAGGGGGATGAGGAGGAAGGAGGATGAGGAGGAGGGAGGAGGAGGATGAGGGAGGAGGATGAGGAGGAGGAGGACGAGGAGGAGGAGGAGGAGAAAGAGAAAGAGGACAACGAGGAGAAGGAGAAGAGGAAGAGGAGGAGCAGGACGGAATTAACGAGGAAATATTGAGGGCGAGTGGTAGTGGTAGGAGGGAGGCGGAGGAGGGTGGAGGGAGGAGCAGGAAGCAGGACATGAGGGAGAGCAAGAGAGTGCGAGATGACGGAGGAAGGGAAACAGGAGGAGGAGGCAGGGGAGAAGAGGGAGAGGTGGGGAGGGACATGTGATAGGAGGCATGAGGAGGAGGAGGAGGAGGAGGAGGAGGAGGAGGAGGAGGAGGAGAAGAACGAGGAGGAGGAATATGAGGAGGAGGAGGAGGAGGAGGAGGAGGACCAATGGGAACCTAAGAGTCATCAACGATGTTGGAATTAACCCTCCCTCCAAGCTCCCTCTTCTTAGGCCCCATACAGCGTTTCCATTGAGGGAACTGCCTCGTTGGAAGACAGTTTGACGATCCTGAAGCGTGCCCAAACATTGTTCTCGCGATTCCATCGCTGCGTATGAACCTGACTGCTGCGTCCCGACGATCCAGACTTCACCACAGCGAATCAAGATAATTGTTGCGCCCGCATAGTCCCGAACCCTTCCAAAACACAATTTCGGGTGTGTTGATCATGGGGGTCCGTCAAACTCTTGCAGAACTTTACAATGAATGCGCGCGGCGCTAAGGCGAGAACGACATGTTGAAAACGACCCGCCCTCAATCCGTGAAGCTCTTGCAAATTTCTAAAACGAATGGGCGCGGCGCTAAAGCGAGAGCCATATTTTGAAAACGACCCGCCCTCAGTCCATGCATCTCTTGCAAATTTGTTAAACGTATGTGCGCGGCGCTAAGGCGAGAACCACATTTTGAGAACCACCTGCCCTCAATCCGTGAAGCTGTGGCACATTTAAAAAAAACGAGTGTGCGCGGCGCTAGGGCGAGAGCCATATTTTGAAAACCACTCGTCCTCCATCTGTGAAGCTGTTGTCATTTTTAAGCTTTAGAGTCATACAGGGTGAAGAAGTCTCAAGCGAAACGCCCGACCCGCCCTAAAAAACCGGCCTCGGGGTGCGACAGGGAGGAGTTATCTTTAAGGGGAAGGAATGGGGGTGGGGGCGGAGGAGGAGGAGGAGGGGGAGGAGAAGGAGGAGGAGGAAGAGGAGTAGGAGGGGTAGGAGGAGGAAGAGGAGGAGGAGGAGCAGGAGGAGGAGGAGGAGGAGGAGGAGGAGGAGGAGGAGGAGGACCAGTGGAAACCCAAGAGTCATCGACGATGTTGGACTGCACCCTCCCTCCAAACTCCCTCTTCGTAAGCCCCTACAACGGTTCATTTCCATTGAGGGAACTGCCTCGCTGGAAGAAAACAATTTGAATATCCTGAAGTGTGCCAAAGCATTGTTCTCGGGATTTCGACGCCACGTATGGGCCGGACTGCTGCGTCTTCACGATCCAGAACCGTGCCAGAACAGCATTCTTGGGACTTCAACACAGCGAATCAACGTAACTGTTGCGCCCGCATGCTCCCGACTTCTTCCAAAACGCCATTTCTGGTACGTTGATCATGGGAATCCGTGAGGATCTTCCAAGTTTTTGAAACGAATGTGCGAGGCGCTATGGCGAGAGCCACTTTTTGAAAACGATCCGCCCTCAATCCGTAAAACCCTTGCACATTTCCAAAACGAATGTGCGCAGCGTTAGAGCGACAGCCACATTTTGAAAATGACCCGCCCTCACTCCGTGCAGCTCTTGCAATTGTTGTTAAACGGATCTGCACGGCGCTAAGGCGAGAACCACATTTTGGGAACCACCCGCCCTCAACCCGTGACGCTGTCGCAATTAAAAAACGAATGTGCGCGGCTTTAAGGCGAGAGCCACATTTCGAAAACCACTCGCCCTCCATCTGTGAAGCTGTTGTCACTTCAGAATCAAAAATGGTGAAGGAGTCTCAGGCGAAACGCCCGGCCCGCCCCCAAAAACTGGCCTCGGGGTGCGACAGGGAGGAGTTGTCTATAAGGAGAAGGAATGGAGGAGGGGGAGGAGGAGGAGGAGGATGAGGATGAGGATGAGAGGGGGAGGAGGAGGAGGAGGAGGAGGAGGAGGAGGAGGAGGAGGAGGAGGAGGAGGAGGAGGAGGAGGAGGAGGAGGAGGAGGAGGAGGAGGAGGACCAGTGGAAACCCACGAGTCATCAACGATGTTGGACTGCACCCTCCTTCCAAACTCCCTCTTCATATGCCTCTACAACGGTTCATTTCCATTGGAAAAACCTGCCTCGTTTGAAGAAAACAGATTGAAGACTCTGAAGCGTGCCAAAGCACTGTTGTCGGGATTTCGACGCCACGTATCAACCTGACTGCTGCGTCTTGACGACCCAGAATCGTGCCACAACGCCGTTTTTGGGTTTCAACACGGCGAATCAACATAACTGTTGCGCCCGCGTAATCCCGACTCCTTCCAAAACGCCGTTTCTGGTACGTTGATCATGGGAACCCGTGAACCTCTTGCAAACTGTAATAACGAATGTGCGCGGCGCTATGGCGAGAGCCACATTTTGAAAACGACCCGCCCGCAATCTGTGAAGCTCTGGCAAGTTTCCGAAGCTAATCTACGCGGCGCTAAAACGAGAGCCACTTTTGAAAACGACCCGCCCTCAATCGTGAAACTCTGTTGTTATTCAAAACGAATGTGCGCGGCGCTAGAGCGAGAGCCACATTTTGAGAACCACCCGCCTTCAATCCGTGAAGCTCTTGCAAACTGATAAACGAATTTGCACGGCGCTAAGGCAAGAGCCACATTTTGAAAACCACCCGCCCTCAATCCGTGAAGCTCTTGCAATTGTTTAAAGCGGATGTGCGCGGCGCTAAGGCGAGAGCCACATTTAGAAAACCACCCGCCCTCCATATGTGCAGCTGTTGCCACTTTAGAAGTGTCCAAATCAAGAATGGTGAGCAAATCTCAAGCGAAACGCCCGGCCGCCCAAAAAACTGGCCTCGGGTTGCGACAGGAAGGAGTTATCTATAATGGAGGAGGAGTGGGAGGAGGAGAAAGAGGATGATGGTGATGGTGATGGTGATGGTGATGATGATGTCGATGATGATGATGATGCTGATGATGGTAATGATGATGCTGCTGATGATGATGCTGCTGCTGATGATGATGGTCATGATGATGATAATAATAATGATGATGCTGATGCTGATGATGATGCTGCTGCTGATGATGCTGCTGCTGCTGATGATGATGCTGATGCTGCTGCTGATGATTATCATGATAATGATGCTGATGATGATGATGATGATGATGATGATGATGATGATGATGATGATGATGATGATGATGATGATGATGATGATGATTCTGATTATGATGATGATGATGATGATGATGCTGATGAGGAGGAAGAGGAGGAGGAGTAGTAGTAGGAGGAAGAGGAGTGATTGGGGAGGGTGTCTGTATACTTAGTGTTTGCGTACCTTCGGGAATGGAGGCGTCTCCGATTTGAGGCGTGCAAGAAATATCTTGCAGTCTCTACGGGGGCCGCTCGGGGGACTCTTGAAGGCCGCTTGGGCGTCTGGGCCTGTTGGGGGCTTCTTGGAAGCTTGTTGGGGAACTCTGGGGGCCTCTTGGGGACCACCGGGATGCTCCAGGGGTCACCGTGTCGCCGAGAGCGATCCCACGGCCGCTCGGGGGGCCTCTTTTGGGCCTCTTGGGCCGTTTTGGGACCTTCCTGGGTTTCTTTGGGCCCTCTTGGGGGCTTCTTCGGCGGTCCTGGGGCGCTCTTGGGGGCCTCTCGGAGCCGCCTTGGTGGGACAAAAAACAAAATGCTAAATGTATACGTCTTCCTACGAATTCAACGATTTTTGCCGCTCTAGGCCTTCGATGGGGGTTTTCTTGGAGCCGTCTTGGGGCGTCTTGGGGCCTGTTGGGTCGTCTTGAGGTCATCTTGGGCCGTCCTGGAGCAGACTGGAAACCATCTGGGACGTCCGCGTCCGGAATTTCTACCCTGGGTCCCGGGGCTTCAGTGAAGGCTCCGGGGAAGCCCCGGCGGTGGAGGGAAACAATTAGTGAACACCTTCCCTCCCCCCCAAAATCAAAGCTGGCACGCGCGGGGGAGACTGCGGTCGAGGTGCAACTCATCAGCCCCACCGCCAGCCAACTTCGAACACTGGGGGGAGGGGGAGGCGTTGAGAGATGAGAATGTGGCGTGAGTGTTCGCTATTTTTTTCCGAGGCCTGGGGGGCGTCCCGGGGAGGCTCCGGGAAGGGCGGGGGCACCTAATGTACCCTGGGTGCCCCTGGTGGTGCTGGCCCTCGGGACCCCTGGGGCTGGGTTGCTCTTGTCTGGGAGAAGCTGCTGATGGTCGGACCCCTCGCCAGGGCAATGTTTCAGGTATGGCTGCAGCCAGACCACATTCGGCCTGATCAAGCTCCCTTTAGGTCGGGCGTGTCCTCCAACAGGCGGATTTTGGAAGAAGAGTAGAAGATAGTCGATAAGCAAACATAGTCAAAAGAGCACGAGACATCGTCGCCAGACTATTTTTAAACCACTCTCGACTATTCCTCCTGTCGAGGGACATGCCCGACTTAACCTTAGTGCACCGTCGAGCGGCGCAGCGGCGGGCCCCTCCGCTCAGTGAGCGCGTCCGCTGGTGCGAAGAGCGCCTTCAGGAAGCAGACCAGGAGAACGATGCTGTTCAGGGCAACCATCGCCAGTGCAAGGGCGACAGCCATCTGCTCGGTCTGTGGCGTCGTGGACCAGTTCTCATCGCCGCCGATGGCAATCTCGGCGATGGCCATCGACATGCAGGTGGCGGCGAGCGACCATCCCTCGACGACGTTCAGGACCGAGCTCTTGAAGGGGCGGCAGTAGACGTGCGCGATCAGCGACGCCACCATGACGACCGCGGCGGCAGCGATGTGCGACTTGGGCGTATATCCGATTGGCATCACGGCCGCGACCGTGGCCAGGGCCAGCTTCCGCAGGAGCATGACCGCTCCCCACCACTGGGACTCCTCGTTGTACGAGTTGACGAGGTATCCCACGATCTCCTCCTTCACCCTGGGGTCCCAGTAGCTGGCCCTGTGGATCAGCAGGGCCCAGTATATCGGCCCGACGGCGCACGCGGCCAGGAAGACCCCCAGCACGGCGGTGAAGTTCTGGATCTCCGAGGGGCAGGGGCTCGACAGGTCGTACGCTCTCAGTGACATCCCATTCTCCTCAGGGGGGCAGAGGAACAACCTCCCATGAAGAGGGAGTAGAGCAGGGCAGGACTGTTTCGTGAACGCCCAGGACTGCTTTGGCCCATGACTGCTCTGCAAACGCCAACTCTGGGGATCGGGGCGTATTTTTTCCTCCGTTGACTCCTGCGTGTGGATGCACGCTCCAAAGCGCACAAACGCTGCCAACACGCCTGGAAGGAACGTGTTTCCGGCGACCAGCGTGGGGCGCAGGAGCTTGTGCCGCAGGCTGATTCCAGGGCTTGCAGGCGCCACAAGCATGGCCAACATGCAGGCCGCGAAAAGTACGACCGGCATCAAGAGGGATAACGTAATCCACTCGCTGAGGGTAGACAACTGTCTTCCCATGAGGCAGTCGAAACTCGAGGAATACAGTGCAGATGCGGCTCCGGAAGCGCTCGAGGTGACCTGCATCGCCGACCTCGCACTCTCCCTCAACGCCTGGACGGCCCGGGTCTCCTCCAGTGCGCTGACCTGGGGAAGCAAAAGACAGGACGCATACCGCGACTCTCCAGTCATCTCCCGGGCTGCGTCCTGATCAGACCTTCGAGGAGAGTCCAGCACGAGCGGCGGCATCGGCATCTTTGTCTTCTGACGACCACGATGAAGGCGGACATCGCGAAAGAGAGCACGATGTTCAGCAGGCCTCTCGGGTGCGGCCCAGCCGACCCCTGGCAAACCATCCCTCTCCGTGACGTCAACCTCGCCTTTGAGGCTTCCCTCTGGTCGCATGCACACGTCTTTTTTGGCGAGGCGAGGGGGGTGTCATGGAAGGGGATGGTTTGCTAGGGGTCGGTTGGGCCGCTCCTCCCCCGATCACCTCTTCCTCCTCCTCCTCCTCCTCCTCCTCGTTCTCCTCCTCCTCCTCCTCCTCCTCCTCCTCCTCCTCCTCCCCTGAGCCTCCTGCCAGATCCTTCTTGGCCCTCGCCGCGGAGCGCATCCCAAACGCCACGAGCACGGTTGGCGGGAGCACGTAGCCCGCCCGCTGCAGCAGCCCGTGCCTCCCGCACGGCCGGCACGTCACGGGATCCAGCGGCTGCCTCCCGTAGCCCCGCGCGCAGGCGGCGCACCCTGGGGCCGTGCTGTCGTAGCCTGGCGTTGGCTCGGGCACGTCCTCCCACGGGCGGACTTCCGAAGAGAAAGACAGCAGATAACCCAGGAGGCATCACTCATGGCCAACCAGCGTCGAGCCATCGCCCCGGGACTATCTTTTGCCTCCTCACGAGAATCTTCCTTCGGGGATGGACAGACCCCCCTTTAGTAAAACGTGGTTTAGTGAAAACGACCTGAGGCCTAAACCTGGAGGGCGCAAACCTGGAAAATAACGGCCACGGCGCCCTCTCGAGAACCGAAAACGGACAATTCACTAATCGACGTGTCACTGTTGGGGGTTCTGTCCAGCCCCGATTCCTCCTGTAGAGGGACGCGCCCGGCTCGAGCCTGGCGCGCACATGCTCTGCGCGCCCCCCGAGCAGTTGCGGAGGCTCCTCGTCCCGGCGCAGGCGCGGGGCTGCGGGCACCTGGCCGGAGCGGGCGGGCGCGTGGCCACAGCGGGGGGCACCCCACAAGAACCCCTTGCTGCTGCTCCTCCTCCTCCTCCTCCTCCCCCCCCCCCCCCCCCCCCTCCTCCCCCCCTCCTCCTCCTCCTCCTCCTCCTCCTCCTCCTCCTCCCCTCCTCCTCCTCCTCCTCTCCTCCTCCTCCTCCTCCTCCTCCTCCTCTCCTCCTCCTCTCCTCCTCCTCCTCCTCCTCTCCTCCCTCCTCCTCCTCCTCTCCTCTCCTCCTCCTCCTCCTCTCTCCTGCCTCCTCCTCTCTCCTCCTCCTCCTCCTCCTCCCTCCTCCTCCTCCTCCTCCTCCCCTCCCTCCCCTCCTCCTCCTCCTCCGCCTCCTCCTCCTCCTCCTCCTCCCCCCCCCCCCCTCCTCCTCTCTCCTCCTCCTCCTCCTCCTCCTTCCTCCTCCTCCTCTCCTCCTCCTCTCCTCCTCCTCCTCCTCCTCCTCCCTCCTCCTCCTCCTCCTCCTCCTCCTCCCACAAGAGACCTTTCACAAGAAACCCAACCCTGAGACCCCAGGGCGTCCGTTGATTTTTGGTGTGGGCACGTCACGCCTGCCACAGCAGGGCCATCGAAACCCAAGAGACCCAGGGCACCCTGGAGGCAAGCAGGGTGTCTCTTGGCATGGGCCTCCACTGTAATGGAGGGCGGCCCACATCGGGCGTGAAGAAAACGGCTCCTTTTTGGCAATGAAGCTGGCTCCAAAAGGGGCCCCGAAAGGCCCCTCTAGGCCCCCATTATTTCCCCCTTCCCATGTGGGCCCCCCCCCAATTACCACCCGCCCGAAGCAGGCAAGGGTACCAACACTGGTGCCCTTTTCCGTCGTGTTCGCCTTCTTGGGACTCCCTGGAGGCCCTCGTCGCTACGGCTGGATTCGCCTCGAAATCCTAGTCAGAACGCACCCTTGCAGAGGTCTTGGGAATAGCGGTATCGGTATCCTTTGGTCGCCCCATGGGCTCTCTGCTCCGGGCCCCGCGGCCAGAAGTGGAGCCCCGGAAGGCCGATCAGCGCACTCGCGCACTGGCTGAGGGGAAAGGAGGAGGAGGAGGAGGAGGAGGAGGAGGAGGAGGAGGGGGAGGAGGAGGAGGAGGAGGAGGAGGGGGAGGAGGAGGAGGAGGAGGAGGAGGAGGAGGAGGAGGAGGAGGAGGAGGAGGCCCGTGCGGACTTCTTGGATCGGCGCGGGCTCCCCCCTGGCGGCGCCTCTGGCGCCGCCCCTGGCGCGCTCCGCGCGCCAGGGAGGGGGACCCGGCGCCGACCTAGGAGATATCCGCTCGGACCTTCGAACATCTGCGTGTTCGTGTGATTCCTCCACCGGGAGCACCTGAACGCGTGCACGGTGTCCCACCCTCCGGCGGAAGAGTTGGGAGCGACCAGCATGAAGCCCGGAGGGGTGGAGATGTCGTCGTCGGTGCACGGGATCAGGGTCCCGACCTGCCTCGAGAGTCTGCGGCTCGTGTTCAGCCCCCGCTGGGCGCCAGCCCGCAGGCGCTCGGCCGCTTCTCTGTTGGCGTTCGAGATGTACGCCGTCAGCTGGGCAGCACCAGACACCATGAGCTGAGAACTCCCGGGATCGGAGACTATCTCTGCGAGCGCCGGACCGTGCAGGAGCGAGCGCCGGAACAGGCCCTCGAATGTGCTCTCGCCCTGTCGTCGCGCCCGCTTCGTCACCTGCGCGTTCCGGAGCATGCTCCCGATCAGGTGAGCACCGGCGTATCTTACGTTCTTGTTGGGGTCACTCAGCAAATCTGACACTTCTGCTTGGCAAGCCGTCAGAGCACTGCTCTTGACTCCCCAATCGTCCCATACAAGTATCTCCTCAGACATGATGTAAGCGAACAGTGCTCGATGAGATGCAATCTTGCTTTTTAATCGGCGCTTGAGCGATTCAACTAATGTAAATATTGTTTTTGCTCGTTGTGTTGCGTACAGGCTGCCGTTAATGTTGTCGTCAAGATTCTCGTCGTCATACCATGCGTCGTATCCGGCACAGTGCCTTGTGCACGTCGGGGCGTGTCAAAATGCGCCTCTGCTGTCTGGCCAAAATTTCTTTATTGTTGTCGGAGGCCGACCCGCCCAAACAACTGAAGCAATAACCATACATTGCCAAAACAACAAACGAAAACCCGAGACAGCCACAACAGCAACAAAACGAGCCAAGGCAGCCCAGCTCGCCCCACGACAGAAGGCCTGTAAGGCGATCCTAAGACTGCCCAAGAAGGTCGCAAGCTGGCCTCAAGATGGTCCCCGAGGCCCCTCAAGACGGCCCAAAATGGCTTCAAGAGGACGCCCAGCAGCCCCGGAAAGCAACAAACAATGTTTTCCACATATTTTTGGCAACTTCCGAAAGCCCACGACGGCCAGAAGTGTCCGCAAGAGGGTTCAAAGACAGCCCAGCAGGGCTCCAAGATGGCCTAATGGGGGCTGCGAGACAGCCCAATGGGCCCTCAAGACGGCCCAACGGGGGCCCCAGACGGCCCAAGATGTACCCAAGATGTACCCAAGATGCCCCAAAGAAGGCTTAAGAGGGGCCCAGGAGGAGGACATCGAGCTGGCCTCGACGGCCTTTTCCTGCAGGATTGCCGCCAAGACCCTGAAGACGCCCGAATAGGCCCCCAGAGGCTCTGAAAACGCCCACGAGATTCTCACGAGGCCTCCCAGGTTCCCCTACAGACCACCACATGCATCTCAAACGGACCTGAAAGGCTCCAAAGAGGCCCCAGAGACGCGTCTTTAGCTTTAGTTCCTTCACCCTGCGCTGCTGCGCTGTGGCGGGGTTTGCCGCAGGCAGCTGGATAGGCTGTCGTGAATATTGTCGTCACGCCATCCGTATTTCCCAGAATCGACAATTTGGCTGATGTCGGTGGTCAACATCTGGAAATCGATGCCTTCAACACGATCCAAAAACGAATGCCCTTTGCAGATGCTGGACACCACAAGTGGAGCGACTCGATAGTCTGCTATGGGTGCCGAGAAGGCAAGAAAATCCAACAGCGACATTCTCCCCACTGCACCTCTGATCTGCCTTTTGATAGCCGTGATCCGCCACCGTGCCGCAGTCGCTGAGAGGAATGCCCTCAGAGATCCCTTCGAGCTCTTCGCTTGGCCCCAAACGATGCTTACGCTCAGGGCCCCATGCGTTTTCCACACCAGATTTTTCGCCCGGCAGGGCGCCCGTGGGCGCCTCGTGGACGCCCCGGGCGCTGGGTGGGTGTTCTGGCCTTTCGTCTCGGCCGCCCTGCTTTGCCTGCAGCAGGGTGGCGTGCAGCATCTTCGAGCTCCCTCGGGCCCTTCCGCAAGGGTCTCCCAAGGATCTCTGGCTCGGCCCGGCAGCCGCCCGGGAACGCCTGGGCGAGCTGCACACTGCCGGCTTTCCCGCCGAAGATGGTCCCGTGAGGGCCTTCCAGACGGAGTTGGCCCAAGATGACCTCCAAGACGGTCCGAAGACGCCTCTAAGGCGGGCAAGATGGCCCCAAGAGGGCCCAATGTGCCACCAGGACAGCCCAACATGCCCCCAAGACGCCACAAGAGGGCTGCAAGAGGACTTCCAGGAGGCCCAGACCATTTATTTCCCTTGGGTTCCCCAACAGTGTTTGCACTTAGGGGTTGTTCCTGGTTCGTCTTGGAGAAAGGCCCGCGAGTCGGTCTGGCGGCTATGTTGGCGCCGTCGCCGCCCCGTCGCCGCCCGTTGCGTGTCGGTCTGGCGGCTATGTTGTCGCTGTCGCCGCCCCGCCGCTCGTCGTCTGGGACTGCGGGTCGGTCTGGCGACTATGTTGTCGCCGTCGCCGCCCCGTCGCCGCAACAGTGCCGCCCGGCGTCTGGGCCTGCGGGTCGGTCTGGCGGCTATGTTGTCGCCGTCGCCGCCCCGTCGCCGCTCGTCGTCTGTGCCTGGGTTGCACCACGTAGGTTGCACAACATATATTATTCTTGTCTACAACTATAACAGATTCTACCCTGCTCCCGAAACTGGAACTAACGGTTCCCCCTCGTGATATGTAATTTGCATATGTTCCTGACCCCTAGTCCATTGTAAAATGAATTTATACCATCCCAGCCCAGCCTGTATCGATACCCCACGCCATCTTGCGCGACAAAATATTGTGCGCGCGTTTGTTTATCACCAATTCATCAGTTCTCGATAATCCAATGCACAAGTTGGGCGCAGTGCACACGCGCGCGGCGTCGCGCGCTCATGCTGAAATCCTTCAACAACCTTAGGTTTCGCAAGAATTTCGAAATCGAGTGGCCTGAAAACATACATCAACACGTGGTTTTGGAGCACGAATTTCCAAAACAAATTTGCGTCTAAAAATGCTTACAAATGGCTTCTCGCGCGCGCGTGCCGAAATCGTTCGAACGCCCTTGCGCGCGTGCTGTCGCAAGAACCCCTTGCATAAAAAACGGAACGCACAGGCGCGAGTGGTCGCGCGCGCAGGCCGGAATCCTTCAAAAAACCTTCGGCTTCGCAAGGAGTTCAAAATCGAGTTCCCGAGCACATATATAAACACACGGTTTTGCAGCATCAGCTTTCAAACAATCCTGCGCTCGCGCTGTTGCGGGTTCTTGAGACAACAATGAATTTCCAATATTTTTACCACATTCTGGAAGCAGGCCTCTCGTGCCGCAAGTCGAACTCATTCGAACGCCCTTGTGAGCGTGCTGTGGGTTGTCCGCGCGCGCATGTCGAACTCCTTCGAAAACCTTCATCGCCGACGCGGGGGCATCGTCATCGTTACCGGCGGGCGTGCGGGCGTGATCAACATCGGCGCCGTCATTGGCCTGGCCGTCGTCATCGCCACCTTCGTCACCATCGCTGCTCTCATAATCGTGTCTACCGTTGTCGGCGTCGCCATGAAACCGCGCCCGCCCAAGTCACCGACTCGCACTGAAGTGCCCGCTGGTAGATACGCAACGGTCAGCGCCACCGCAGCCGCGTCGGTCGCGCCAAACTAGCTGACCGCTGTGCGCGCGAGCATGCGCGGCCGCAGAGACGCACCAGCCAACGCAAAGCACTAATCGCATTCGCCGCAGCATGGTTTTTCAAACCAAGTTGCGGGTGGGCGGGTGGGATGTTTGCAAGAGCGGGGGATGCGTCAATTTGTAAAAAGCAAATGCACGGCATACTTTGTACCACGTATAACGCACAACTGCTGCGAAACATAGAATGCACCACATATACGGGCAACATAGATTGCGCACCACAGATATTGTACCACATAGATGGTACAACGTTTTTGCTAGAAGCACACAATTTGGGGTCCACGCTGGTCAACACGTTTTCAATCGTTTTCGCGTTCTCGCGGGCATCCGACAGCCGAAGACGGCCCCACATGCATCCAAGATAGCCCCAAGACGGCCCCACAAGCCTCCAAAAGGGCCCCAAGAAGGACCCACAGACTTCCAAGACGGCCCCAACGCGCCTAAAGAGGGTTCCACGACGGTCCCGAGAGACCCCCAAGACGGACTCCGAAGGCCAAGAGGCCCCTTGGAGGCCCCTTACATGCCCTTAGAGGCCTCCAAGACGCTCCCAGTAAGCCCCCAGGAGGCCTCAAGAGGACCCCAATAAGCCCCAGGAGGCGTCCAGAAGGGCCTTCAGAGGCCCCCAAGAGGCCCCCCAGGAAGCCCCTAGGAGGCCCCACGAGGGTTCCGACAAG